GAGCCATACCAAACGCATGCTTGCCACATTCATTCCCGTCAGCCACAGCAATTCCGAATGGTTTGGCACCGGCCCCAACACCCCCCAGGGGAGACAAGGCCGTAAGTTGGCAGAGCCCGGAGAGTCTCAGCGCTGGCTGCAAGATGAAGGGGGCCATTGCCGGCTGCACAGATGTGGCAGGAGGCGTGTGTCCCCGTTAGGGTGACCAGATGTCCTGCTTTTATAGGGACAGTCCCGATATTTGGGGCTCTCTCTTATATAGGCGTCTCTTACCCCCCACCCCCGTGCCGATTTTTCCCACTTGCTGTCTGGTTGCACCAGTCCCCGTGTGCGTGCGGGGGACTCTCTCCCTGCTCTGAATACACAGAGGTCTCCAGCGCTCCGTCCGTCCCGGGGCTGGGCAGGGGCTTGCTGCATTTGGAAGGCCCTGGCCGTGCAGACGATGGGGGAGGGAGGTTTGGGCACGGTGGGGGCTGACGGTGCTTTCTTCTGCGGCTCTCCAGACCATCCGGGAAGTGACGGGTTACGTCCTGATCGCTATGAATGTCTTCACGTACCTGCCCCTGGGGAACCTGCGCGTCATCCGGGGCACGCAGCTCTACGAGGACAAACACGCCCTCTTCGTGCTGCTAAACTACCACACCAACGGCTCGCACGCCCTCCGCCAGGTGGGGTTCAACCAGCTCACGGGTGAGTCCCGCCGCCCCCGGCTGCTGCATGTGACCCGAGTGGGGCAGTTCTCAGCCCACTGCCTAGTGGACAGATAACGTTGCGCAAGCAGCGTCTGATGCTGGCGGAGAGCCCCGGGGGCTGCCCCTGCCCCTCTCGAGCTGCCCCCACTGCCACTCCAGGGCAGGGCGGGGACATGCTGGCAGGGGGCAGGGGCGTGTATGGTGCTGGCTGCACCTACTCGCCGCATAAACATGGTGACCTCATCCTTGGCCACTGTTTACCTGCGCTCAGATTCGCGGGGGGAGGAGGGAATCCACTGCAGGTGCCAGGTGACACATCCCGCCCTGGCAATGCCCTGCAGAGCTTCCTCCCTCTGCTGGCAAAATGCAGCCACTGCTGGGGTGGCCGACGGGAGCTGCTCACAACAACGCCATGGGGCTGAGGGGGGAAATAGACAGGATCAGAGCAGTGGGTCGCCTTGTCCGGCGTCCCCTTCTCCAGGCAGTGGCCAGGACCAATTGCTCTGGAGGGAGATGCAAGCAGCCCTGGAGGCTGCAGGGGGGATGTCGGGTTGGACTTTGGCCGGGATACGGGGGCTGATTCCCCTGCTCTTACCCAAAGTCACCAGGGGATCCCAGACAACCTGAGCGCTCAGGGCTTCCCCTCTGGGTCGGACTCACTCTCAGGGGAGCTCAGGGCTGGGCCGCAGCCCCCAGAGGCCGAGGTGACGTGTTTATCTGCAGGACCAGCAGCTCACGTGCACCAGCCCTGACTTACCTACTCTAGGGTCATGCTGCTGCCGCCCATCACCGTGGTATCTGGGCGCCGTCCACAAGTCCCTAGTGCCGTTCCTTGGTGTCTCTGGCACTTCTCTGCTTTGGGGGGGCTCAAGGCTCTGCTTTGGGGGTGGAGCATCATTCCTTGGGGGGGGGCCTTTCGCAGAGGGGTTCGCCAGCGGGGCATTTGGTCTCCTGCTGCCAATGTGGGGGCTGCAATGGTACCAGTCGGAAACCGGGTGGTCCCCAGCATCATGGAGCCGGTGACCCCCAGGTGCCCTGCCCCCAGCCCCTGAGCTCCCCTGGCAAGCCCTCCGAGGCCCCGCCTCTGACCTGTGCCCTCCCGGCGGGTTCTGGGGTGAAAGTCCAGGGGCCGACGGGCGCTTTATGGGCGCTCCTGGCCAATGGGACGGCGGGATGGGTAATCAATCCCCTTATCGGCGCCGAGGAGCAGGTTTATGAGTGTTTCCCGGCCGCGGCTGGGCCAGGAGCAGGTGAACGGTTTGGGGCAGAGGCTGCTCCAAGGTCAGATGTGCCTTGGCTGTGGGAAGAAGCAGGGTTAGGCTGGGCCGGGGCTGAAGGAAAACCCGGAGGGGGGCGTGGACGGTGAATCGGCGCTAGGGGGTGCTGTTTAGCAAGGAGCGGGATCAGGAGGGGGCGCTGCCCCCTGGAGTCAGGGCTGAGCCCCACGGCCCAGGATGGGGGTAGGAGGTGCTGTGGGGCGGGGGTTGCCTTTCAGATGAGACAGGACAGGGGTGATGGTCGGAGTCCCCCAGCGCCGGCCTGCTGCCCCCTCTCCCTGGCCCCACACCGAGCCCCCCGTGCGTCCAGCTATTCGCTGGACTTCTCTTCGCTTTCTGTCCTGGGCTGCTGGGTAGCAACGCTGTTAGATGTCATCCCACCCAGAGGTGGCTGCACTCTGGGGCGGGGTGGGGGGGGAGGGAATGAGTCTCCTCTAAGCTGCAAAGCTCAGTCCTGGGTCCGCACACAGCCCTGACCCCTCTCGGCCCCGGGGATCAGCCCCACGCCTCGTGTGTACTTTGCAAAGCCCCCCGGGATACTGGAGAGGAGCTAGGGCGCCCAGCTTCTCCCACGGCCAGCCTGTGGGGGCTCACGGGTGCCTGCCGTGGCCCCATTCGCAGGCGTGGGCAGGCTGGGGCGCGTCCCGGCGGGAGGATCCCGTCCGCTGGCGTCCCGGCCTGACCCGCCGGCTGCGCCCGGCTGTTTGCGTTCGGAGCGCTCCAGCCGCCCCGCCCCAGACGGAGGCTTTTATCGGCGTCCTCAGCGCCCCACGGCAAGCGCCCGGCCTGCCCCGCCCCAGCGCTGGGGCTGCCCCCCCTGCCCCGACTCCGGCTGTCAAAACAACCCGGGCTGGGCGGAGCCGGCGAGGAATTGCCTCCTGGAGCCGGAACCCCCCTCTCGCCTCTCCTGCGAGGGGCAGTGAAACGGCCAGATGTGACTCTCCGCTAACGGGCTGCACGGACCCTGGGGTGCGAGTGGGGCTCCGTGGGCCCGGCCCCAGACAACCCCCACTTCCGGCTCTGTCCCTCCCCTGAGCCACCTGCCCTGCCCCCCGTTCCGCCCCCTGGCTTCTGGGCGCTCCCCAAGTCCCGGCCGGCGTGGGGGGGTCAGGGCCGCGGCTCAGCGGGTCCTTGCCTTGCAGAGATCCTGGCGGGCGGGGTTGACATCGAGAGGAACGAACAGCTGTGCCATGTGGACACCATCGAGTGGAGGGACATCGTCCGGGACCCGCTGATGGACCCAGTGGTTCGGCAGAATGGCAGGAAGTGTGAGTGTTCGGGATGGGGGGCGCGGCCCCGGCCCCCACTGCCTCTGGCGGCCCCGGGCCCTGCCTCCCCTTGCGCCAGGAATCTTAAACCCAGCCCCCCGCTCTAACCACTAGACCCCACTCCCCTCCCAGAGCCAGGGAGAGAACCCAGGAGTCCTGGCGCCCAGCTCCCCCTGCTCTAACCACTAGACCCCACTCCCCTCCCAGAGCCAGGGAGAGAACCCAGGAGTCCTGGCTCCCAGCTCCCCCTGCTTTAACCACTAGACCCCACTCCCCTCCCAGAGCCAGGGACAGAACCCAGGAATCCTGGCGCCCAGTCTCCTCTGCTCTAACCACTAGACCCCACTCCCCTCCCAGAGCCAGGGACAGAACCCAGGAATCCTGGCGCCCAGTCTCCTCTGCTCTAACCACTAGACCCCACTCCCCTCCCAGAGCCAGGGACAGAACCCAGGAATCCTGGCGCCCAGTCTCCTCTGCTCTAACCACTAGACCCCACTCCCCTCCCAGAGCCAGGGAAAGAACCCAGGAGTCCTGGCTCCCAGCCCCCCTGCCCTAGACCCCACTCCCCTCCCAGAGCCAGGGACAGAACCCAGGAGTCCTGGCGCCCAGCCCCCCCTGCTCTACCCACGAGAACCTGCTCCCCTCCCAGAGCTGGGGAGAGAACCCAGGAGTCCTGGCTCCTAGTCCCCCCACCCCAGGGTTCCAGCCCTGACTCTGTGGGGAGCAGCTCCTCGATGGAGCAGGCGGTGACTGCGGGGCGACCTTGTGCTCGTTAGCAAGCTGAGTTTGGTGGAGTCTGGGGGGGTCCGAAACCTCCTGTCCCGTGCTGCGGCCCTGCCCATGCGAGGGGCTGGTTTCGGCACCCCCCATCCCAGCCGGCGCCCTGCTCTGCCCACCTGGCCTGCCCCACATGGGGGCACCGGAGCAAGACCCCGTCCCCTCTGCCCCTCTGTGACACTGGGCGTTTCTCTCCTCCCAGGTGCCCCCTGCCATGAGAGCTGCGATGGACACTGCTGGGGCCCGAACCCAGAGGACTGCCAGAAATGTGGGTACCTGCCTGGCGTGGGGGGCAGGGGCTGGCAGGGCCGGGAGCCAAAGTGGGGGGCTCTACCTCACAAAGAGACCAGAAAGTCGCAGGCCGGGCACTGGCTCCACGGATCTAGTTGGGGGGCCGGGCAGGGGTAGCCGTGGTCCGGGGAGGGTGCATGGGGACCAGCCAGGGGGCAGGTATTCCAGGGTTGCGGGAGGTTGGTTTGAATCCCCCTGGGTCGGCCGAGGGCTGGGTGGGCCTGGATCCGGCACCGTTCATCAGGCAGTGGGGGGGCAGCGCTTGAGCTGGCCGGGAGGGGAGTTCAGGCCACCGCCCCCCTCACCCATCTCCTCTGCTCCCCCCTCAGTGACCAAGACCATCTGCGCCCCCCAGTGCAACGGGCGCTGCTTCGGGCGTAACCCCAGCGAGTGCTGCCATGACGAGTGTGCGGGGGGCTGCACCGGCCCCCGCCAGACTGAGTGCTTCGTAGGTCCCCTGCGGGGCGGGGGGAGCGGGGGGTGTCTGGGCTGGGGGGTGCTGTCTGGGCTGGGGGAGGGGTTGGGTGTCTGTGCTGGGGGGTTGAATGTGTGCACTATTATGTGGACGTGCGCTCGAACTTGCTCT